AGCGTGCATCGTTTTCGGGGCGGGAAAACTTACAAAATTTAGTATCAAATTACTTTTTATTGTTTTTAAAGAGAAACGTAGATAGTTTTTTCTAAATGATAAGCTGTATAAGATTGCTTCTGAATATGTCTAAGTGCTTCAAATAAATGTTAATATATAAGGATACCAAAACTCTTAAAACACTTATATAAAATTATATTTTTTAATCTTTACATATCTTTTTTTTTTTTTAGAAATATTGATCCAATTGTTATCATTTTAATCTATTCAAAAGTAATTACGATTTAATCGTTCAGTTTAAAGAAATTATAATTTTATCAAGTTATATTAGAGTCATTAAAAAGTTGATTTTCAAACTATAATTAAAATTCAGAACGAATTGATTCAGCATATAAAGCACCTATCAAAATATAACTAAATATATGAGAGTAAACGTAAAAGAAAATTATTCAAATATATTAGAAAATGTTGACACAAAGATAGGATTATATAGAATTTTTTCATATAATTTCGCAATTGACACCCGCCCCTTTAAGAGTGCTTTTTACATTCGAATATTATTACGAATACTTTTTTGAATACTATTTGTCAATTTAAAAATTATAATAGTGAAATAATCATGTAATAAAAAAGTAAGACAGAGTAACATAAAGATAGACGAATAGCAGATCGATTTTTACGTGATATCGTATTTCGATCTTTTATTTTAAGAGAAAATATTTCTCTAATATATGTAAAAAATTTTTATAAAAATTAATTTAAATTTCAAGCTAAAATATTTAATTATACTTTAATCTATATTTTTTATTCTGAAATATTTTGGCAAGATTTTTCTTATTCAATTAATATATGCATGCACTTTTCAAATTTGCTCTCTGTAAAGAAGTGCTTAAGATGGTTTAATTTTGCGTTAGACACCATATATAAAAACTACTCCTTTACTTTTAGATAATTAAAAAGGACATGGCTAACACACCGTGCTAAAGCTTGATTAAAATCACATGCAAGAAGCGCTCTTAGCATATTATAAAGTTACAATGCTACGTATAATTATAATAAAATATTGAAAAATGAATTGTTCTGACATCAATAACGATATAATTTCGTTGAGCTCGATCTTCAACGCTGACAAATCAATTATAAGCGTTTATTATATGACAAGCACAAACTTTCATTATTGTATATTTGAAAATAGTGTAAGCGAAAACTTTTCTTCTTCAACAGTCGAATATATTCAAACGATATTAATAAGTTAATTAATATGGAATATGGAGATAGAATGGGTAAAGTACTTCGCAGAGCACGAAACTCTTTATCACGCGATATTCGTTTCCCAGAACATTTTCATCCTTCGCACGTCCGAAGGTAGTATTTAAAAAAGTTTTGAAAAATAGCACGTATTATTACGCTATAATAATGTGCGCTGTTATATTTGCCTACGTAACTTCTTATCGATATGAGAAAAGTTTAAAATTTAAAGCTCGATAGAAAAATAAAAAACATGAAATACGCGACGCGTGACATAAACAACTCTGTGCAATTTATAAATCAGGAATAATAAAGTAGAAAAAATTTTGCGCGAATTATACGTTTACAAAATTTATTTGAGTTTGTAGAAAAAGCAATGCAATTTTTATGTAAAAGTAATTGTAAACATGCAAAGTTTATGAAACATTTTTTACGATTTTTAATATATGAAAATCAAACTTGATAGATCCATCACATTTATCTTTTACTATATTTATTCCATCGGTCTCGTAGAAAACCTTATCATGTCATGTTATATATGCCGTACGTGTCAAAGTTATGCGTCGCAAAGATAAAGTTAGTGTGTGACATATTTCCTCGAACTATGCTCTAACTGTCAAACGCTACATATCAAGATTGTTTTGGAAGCGTTTTTGCGACTATCGCTCGCCTCGACTTATTGTCTGCGCGAGCGAGCACACAGCTGATCAACCAAAAAAAACTATATACATAAACACGGCTTGTTATTGCCCGCGCTCTGATTTCGTGTTATTTCCCTCTTTTTTCTCCGAAACCGGCGGGTTCCTGCGATCCGACGGTCGATTCCGAGTAAGTCTGCGTTCAGCCGTCTAAGCGATCACAAGTCAGTGATACTCCATCGAAACAGTTTTCGCTCTGTATTCTGCGAAAAGTGCGTTCACCGAATACCTCCGAGTTTGTGGATCTTTGCGCTGTAGCGATTTTAACCCGCTCCCGTTGCAAGAAGGACGAGCGAAAGACTACCAGACCAGAGGAACGACACCATAATTATTATTTAATTAATAAAATTGGAGCCTTCGAAAACCAACCCGGCTATCGTCAATCGTCCTTAATATTCCTTGCCCACCGATCGTTCAATAAACGATTAAAACCACACATAATTTTGGTCCTTCGAGCCGGATCGGTGGCAAGACGAAACCAGGCATTGACGATCTGCCGGCATCATGTCGAACGTGGAGGAGATAATCAGCGATCAGACACAGCTGATGTACTCTGTCGCACGAGTTCTGCCAAATTTCAAGAAACTTGGCCAAGCACGGATGACTCGTGCCGTTACCAAGGAGCGCCTCGCCAACCTGAAGGTCATCTTTTCGAAGTGCCAGGAACTCCATTCGAAAATCACTCGTCTGGCCAGTGATACTCAGAAGCAGCAGCTGCCTTACTTCAAGGAGCAGCAGTTTTTCGCCTGCGAGGACGTCTTCAACGAAACATCCGACTACATGGCAGAAATTCTCGAGGCCTTCGAACCAGGACCGCGGCATCAGTCAACAACCTTGGACGTAAGCAACCCTTCCGAATTCTCTCGCCGGTCGTCACATTTGCCCAAGCTACACTTACCGACGTTCGAGGGAGGCTTTGACAAATGGGAAAATTTCCGCGACCGATTCACCTCGTTAATCGCTAACGATACCTCGCTGTCAAATGTCGATCGTTTGCATTATCTTTGTTCGTGTGTAAAGGGTGAAGCTAGTAAGGCGTTGAGCCACCTCGCGATTACAGACGCGAATTACGTTGTCGCGTGGAACCTCTTAATTTCACGTTACGAAAATAAGCGACGCTTGATTACCGGGCATTTGCAAACATTAGTTGATTTACCCGCGGTTCCGAGCAAAAACTCCAAAGACCTTCGGTACCTTTGTGATCAGACCAACGCCGCGATACATGCGTTAAAGAATCTCGGGCGTCCGGTCGAGCACTGGGATGATCTATTGGTCTTCCTCGTTTCGCAGAAACTCGATAAATCAACTCGGGAGGCGTGGGAGATAAAGCTTGGCGAAACCAGCGAGTATCCTCGCTTTAAAGATCTTACGCAATTTATCGATACTCGAATTCGCGCATTCGACGCGATCGCTCCCGCGAATCCGAAAGAGAAAGCATCCGAGTCGAATAAATCGGCGAAACGCCACGTACTCGCCTCCAATTCCGGCGTTCCCGCGAACGTCACGTGCCCTGTCTGTAAAGCCAAACATTTATTATACCAGTGCTCGACCTTCGCTAGCAAAACACCGTCCGAACGATTCGAGTTAATCCGTCTCAACCGACGGTGTATCAATTGCTTCAGCGCGAAGCACGTTGTGAAGGAATGCACGAGCCCGCGCACATGCAAACAGTGTCAGAAAAAGCACCACTCGCTCTTGCATTTTGACACATCCGCCAATCAAGGAGATACCATCGAATCCGCGGTCGCGACGACGTCGAGCGACTCGAGTAATAGCGACGTCACAACGCATCTCTCCACAAACATGGTGTCACCGCAGGCCGCGATTCTCCTCGCAACTGCCCGCGTTCGCGTGCATTCGCCACAAGGACGAGTAGTTACTGTTCGCGCATTGATTGATCAAGGTTCCGCAGTTACGCTTATCACCGAATCAATCGCCCAATGCCTACGGTTACCGCGCGTCAAGCAAGCCGTTCGGATTGCCGGCATCGGCGATAAACAATCCGTATCGCATCACGCAGTTACCGTCATCGTAACTCCTGCGTTCGGCGATGAACCTGCGTACTCGACGACCGCTCTTGTTCTCCCCTGCTTAACAAAATATACGCCAAATCGTACAAATTCCGCGTGTCGCTGGTCGCATATATCTGGATTGCGTTTAGCCGACGGAGATCTCATGAGTCGCGATCCGATCGACGTCATTATCGGCGCCGACCTGTATGGCCTGATCCTCCTCGACGGTATTCGAAAAGGATCCGTTAACGAGCCTACGGCTCAAAAAACCACTCTTGGCTGGATCCTCTCCGGACCCGTCACTCCCATCTCCACTGATCCACGCGCATCTGTGCAGGTGCATCATGGAACCGTCCTTGAATCTCTCGACTCCATTCTCCGTAAATTTTGGGAAATTGAGGATATTCCCCTCTCATCTTTTCCAAATCCCGAAGATCTCGAATGTGAGGAACATTTTTCGTCCACTCACTACCGCACGCCTCAAGGGCGTTACGCGTCGTCGTCGGTTACCCTTTAAAGGTCACACCGCAGTCTCGTTAGGCGAATCGCGCGCCGTCGCCTTCGCCAGCCTTCAACGCCTCGAACGGCGTTTCCTTCGTCAGCCGGAAACGGCTTCCGCCTATCGCGAATTCCTTACCGAGTATCGTCAACTCGGTCATATGACCATCGCGCCAGCGGATAATCGCCGTGGGAATGCACTCCACCGCTATTATATCCCGCATCATGCTGTCGTACGAGACAGCAGTGCCACGACGCGCTTACGCGTCGTTTTCAACGCGTCGTGTCGAACCTCGGACGGCACATCCTTGAACGATCACTTGATGGTCGGGCCTAAGCTCCAGCTCGATCTCGCCACGGTGCTAATGCGATGGCGTCAACATCGCTATGTCTACACTGCCGACATCGCAAAGATGTATCGGCAAATTCTAGTTGACCAACGCGATGTTGACTACCAGAGGATTCTGTGGCGAGAGTCTCCGGAACAACCAGTCGAGGAGTATCAACTACTCACAGTTACCTACGGCACCGCTTCCGCTCCTTACCTCGCTCTCCGTGTTTTGCGACAGTTAGCGCAAGATGAAGGCGGCCCTCATTTCCGCTCGCGGTTCCGGTTCTCCTTTCGCAACTTTACGTCGACGACAGCGTGTTCGGCGCCGACGATAAAATTCTCGCGCGCCAGACTCGCGACCAACTTGTCGCTTTATTAGAAAAGGGCGGTTTTCGCTTGAGAAAATGGGCAAGCAATTGCGCAGATCTTCTATCGGATATTGATCCGTCCGATCACGGTCTTGCCTGCTCAAAGGAGCTATATGATGATGAGCGATTGAGCGTGCTAGGTCTCACGTGGGACCCGTGTCGCGATGTCTTTCGGGTTAAAGTTTCTCTCCCGACACATATTTCGAAAACGAAACGCGAGATCTTATCGACCATCGCCAAACTATTTGATCCGCTCGGTTGGATCACCCCCGTCGTGATTACCGCAAAAATATTTCTGCAAACATTGTGGCAATTAAAATGCGATTGGGACGACGACATTCCCGGCGATTACGCAACCGACTGGGAACGCTATTATTCGCACTTATCGTGCCTTCATCAACTCGAAATCGCGCGCTGGACGCGATCCGGCTCTCATACCTTGAAAACGGAGTTACACGGTTTCTCAGACGCCTCTACGAAAGCCTATGCGGCGGTAGTCTACCTCCGTAACATTAACATCGACGGATCGGTCGACGTTTTCTTGCTCGCCGCGAAGTCCAAGGTCGCCCCTCTCAAAACATTAAGCGTTCCGCGTCTCGAGTTAGCCGCTGCACATCTTCTTTCGCGCCTCGTGCAGTTCGTTCGAACGACGCTTCAACTGCCGAACATCGAAATACATTGTTGGACGGATTCCACCATAACGCTAGCCTGGCTAAGTAAATCGCCGTCTTGCTGGCGAACGTTCGTAGCAAATCGCGTCGCGGCCATTCAAACGACCTTACCGGACATACCGTGGCGCCATGTTCCGACTTACGACAACGCCGCCGATGCCGCGTCCCGTGGTCTTGCTCCGGAGGAACTAGCCCCACATCCGTTATGGTGGCACGGACCCCCGTGGCTGTCTTTGCCTCCAACCTCTTGGCCGAACGGCAATCTCATACAAGATGAGATCACATCCACCGATCTTTTGGAGAAACGAAACGTACACGTCACGGATTCTCCGGCGCCTCCGGAATTATGGGATCTCGCTTTTCGCTTCTCATCATGGCCGAAATTGCTTCGCGTGACCTCGTATCTAATTCGATTCGGGAATCTCGCGCGACGGCAAAATCAATCACTCGAACGCAGTTCGCGCGTCGACGAAATCGCCGCAGCCAAAGCGTACTGGCTCCGCTGTATACAGGCAGCTATGTTTCCCGCTGAATTAGTCTGTCTCGCTGCGAAGAGATCCGTGTCCAAATCCAGTCCGCTTTCATCTCTCAATCCTTCGCTGAGCGACGACGGACTCATCCGCGTCCGCGGACGTCTACGTCACGCTCGCCTGCCAGATTCGACGAAGTACCCGATCGTCCTTCGGTCGCATCCTCTCCTTTCCCTCATCATCGATCATCACCATCATCGCATGCTACACGGCGGTTCACAACTCACTCTCGCATCCTTACGTTCCGAATTCTGGATTCTTCGCGCTCGCACTTGTACCCGCGCAGTCCTTCACAAATGTGTGCGATGTGCCCGCGAGGCTGCGACCATTCCAAATGAACTCATGGGAGATCTTCCGTCGGTTCGCGTAAATCGCGCGGCGCGACCGTTTTCACACACGGGAGTCGATTATGCTGGTCCTATTTTGTTACGAAGTACACCCGGGCGCGGACATAAGTCTCACAAAGCGTACATCGCCCTGTTTGTATGCCTCACTACTAAGGCTATCCACCTTGAAGTCGTAACCGATTATACTTCGGCCACCTTTATCGCGGCGTATCATCGGTTCGTGTCCAGACGAGGTCTTCCCCAGGGGATGTATTGCGATAATGGCACAACTTTCCAAGGAGCCGATCGCGAATTAGCCGATGCACATCGTCGCGCCCTCCGCGATCCAAATTTTATTGCGGCGACCGCTTGCGAAAAACATCGTGGCATTTCCTTCCCCCGGCCGCCCCACATTTCGGTGGTCTCTGGGAGGCCGGTGTGCGTAGCGTCAAAACGCACCTCAAACGTTGCATAGGTGCTCACACTCTCACGTACGAAGAAATGAACACCCTTCTCTGTAAAATCGAAGCGTGTTTAAATTCTCGACCGTTATCCGCCGTCTCCGAGAATCTGGAAGACTACCGCGTTTTAACTCCTGGGCATTTTTTAATCGGCGCTCCGTTAGCAGCGGTTCCCGAACCCAGCGTTCTCGACCTGCATGAAAATCGATTGTCACGCTGGCAGATGACGCAGCGCATCACCGAAGGTTTTTGGAGATCTTGGCGCAACGATTACTTGCTCACCCTCCAACAACGCCCAAAATGGCGAATTGTACAAAAATTAGCGCGCGTCGGTCAGTTAGTTCTTCTACGAAATCCGCTAGCTCCCCCGAGTCAATGGGAGCTCGGCCGAATTGTTGCGTGCCATCCCGGAGCCGACGGCTTGACGAGAGTCGTCACCGTCCGAACGAGCCGCGCAGAATATAAGCGCCCTATCACCAAAATTTGTTATCTTCCCGTCGACATCAATCAAGAGATGTCAATGATATCCGGCTCGGCGGGCGGAGATAAAAAGTAAAGCGAGCACTTGCTCATATATATATCTCGTTTTTGTTTGTTTGCGTTTGTTTAATTTGTTTTAAAATTTAATCAACTATATTCTTATGTATACCTTTGTCACTGGTCTCGTAATCACGATAAGACTGTTCAAATCGATAGAGTGGATCTCTCAATCGATTGTAAACGTTATCGTCGTTGGTGCAAACCGAAGTGCATCTCTTGTTCGTCACAATGCGCATTTCGAATGTGTTCATTCGAGGCGGGCGGTATGTTTTGGAAGCGTTTTTGCGACTATCGCTCGCCTCGACTTATTGTCTGCGCGAGCGAGCACACAGCTGATCAACCAAAAAAAACTATATACATAAACACGGCTTGTTATTGCCCGCGCTCTGATTTCGTGTTATTTCCCTCTTTTTTCTCCGAAACCGGCGGGTTCCTGCGATCCGACGGTCGATTCCGAGTAAGTCTGCGTTCAGCCGTCTAAGCGATCACAAGTCAGTGATACTCCATCGAAACAGTTTTCGCTCTGTATTCTGCGAAAAGTGCGTTCACCGAATACCTCCGAGTTTGTGGATCTTTGCGCTGTAGCGATTTTAACCCGCTCCCGTTGCAAGAAGGACGAGCGAAAGACTACCAGACCAGAGGAACGACACCATAATTATTATTTAATCAATAAAATTGGAGCCTTCGAAAACCAACCCGGCTATCGTCAATCGTCCTTAATATTCCTTGCCCACCGATCGTTCAATAAACGATTAAAACCACACAAAGATCAATTCTTAAAGAGGGATTTCGAAGAGCGTCTTTGATATAGCATCATTATTATAATATAGCGCATTAATTTATTTCAATATTTATTACGTTACGCAGAAATTAAATGTTTTCTTGACTCCGACGTCGCTAGCTTTAATTAAATAACTCAGCGCTGATTACATATTATATTAATCGAAATTATAATATTTAATATAGAAACAAATGCGACAGTAAAATTAATTCGCGTTACTAAGGATATTTCGCGGAGATGTTTCTCGTCATCCATCTGTCATATCCGAAACTTGTACTCCGAATAGACTGTAGAAAATCGAGCTCAACAAATTCACAGCCCTCGTCCACCCTCACTCGACATCCCCTACACTATATGTAACCTTCTAAAAAGAGACTTCTCACTCACCCGTTCCGGCGAGCACAGCTGTGCGATTCGCGACGCACAAGTCGAGCCTCGCGTAAACCAGCCGCAGGTTTAGCTCACTCATGTTTGCCCGGCGTGACGTCCGCGGACGCTTGTTGCACCCTGGTTGTCACCGTCTTCGTTTACCACCACGGCCTCGGGATCTGTCGCTCTCCCGGACGCAGAGCACCGTCTCGCTCACGGCGATCTATACTCCGCCGCTCCTCCTAGCCGTCCTCTTCTACGACGTATGACGACGTTCCGGGATATTCCCGTGCGCTGTCCGTCCGCTCGGACGGGGATGAGCCGCCATCCTCTCAGGGGGATGTTGTTCGGGGGTGTGACGTCATTCACCCACAGCCGGCGCGTTACGTATAGATTTTTAATTTCCCTTGGCGCCGTCTCGCGCGCGCGAGCCGGCTCCTCTGTCGTTCGATAATCGCATATCGAGAGTCGCGCTCGATGAATCGAGAGTCGCATTCGATGAATCGAGATTGATGTAAACGTGCGAGGCTATTCAGTGTGTAAAAGTTTGAAAATAATTACACGCGTTTATTAATTATTTAATCTGCATGCGTGCCAATATGTATATATATTTTATAATTGCAATTTATTTTAATTACTAATTACGCGGCAACGCACTTCTTTATCAATGGTCGGTTTTATCGCAATGGTTATTAACGGCAGTTGCTATTTCATATTCGCGGTTAGAAAAAGAATTTAAATTTGGAGCCAATTTCATTAAGTCGATTAACATCAGGATTGCCAAAAGCAAATATTCATGTCACGAATACTTTTATATCTATACGTTGGCCACCCTGCTAATTTTAACCGCGCGGTGCATCTAATCGAAATTGGTCCTTTATTAATCATTTTTAGCACTTTAGTAATTTATAAACATTACAGAAAGTATTTCTCAAGCAGTTTTATACTACGTCCTGCGAAAAAACTGCGCTCGCTTTTATTTTCAATTTGATATAATATCATTCAATTTGATATAGCATTGATCCTCTCTCTCACGCGGTTATATTTCCCGCCATAATCGAGCAATTCCTGCTTCCCGCCAAAATCGAGCAAGACTCGCTTCACGCGCGGCAGTGTCTCGTTAGTCCGAGCGCATTTAATTAATCTTTTTCGTGTTTCGACGAAGCCTGGCAACGAATATCACTTCACAGGAAGTAGGTAAGATTGTATTGAACACTATATATTGGAGGTTGCACGATCTATTCGAGAATTAATGTTATTTTCGCATTTATTTGCAGACAAGGAAGTCTGGGGTTAAGAAACACGGCGCGAGTGTAATGGCTGCAATCCGAAGATCGGTGAACCTGCGATATATTTCGCTATATTCTAACGACGAGATCGGTGAGTGTGTAGTATACTTTTGTTATATTTCATCTTCCAGCAATCCTATCGAGTCAGTTTGACCATTAGGAGGGTTATTAGCGTAAGGCGAGACAAAAATATATGTGTAAAAAAATGTTTTTTTACGCAAAAACTTTTTTTCGCAAACTTTTGCTTGTAATTTCAAGAGTTGAGCCCGATACGAGACTTTGCATGTATCGGCTCTCGTTTTATCACGATTGCGGAAGGACGCGGTGGAGGATCTTTTGTGCGGCAAGAGAGCTTTTCTGTACTATCTGGACGAGCTTGAAAGCTCGTCGCAAAGTAGGCCGCGGGAGTCCGATATCGTGTGTCGCCTCGGTCAAATTATAATGGTGTCTCCACCCTGTTTTTCTATTCAATTTAATCCGATATCAATATATGTATACATACGGTTTTATCCTTCGTATATACTTTTATGTATATTTTACCCTCACAATATATATACGATAAGTCTATATAAGAGTAATAATCTTTTCAGCACATTTTTATGAATGAGATTTAAACTCGCAGAAGATATTTGAGAACCAAAGCTTATGCTTTTTAAAAGTTTAATGAACAGCATTTTTTATTATTATTATAAATATTATTAAAAAATTAAATAAAATAAAAAATAATAAGATCATTTTTTCTCCCGACTGCTGCCAACCGTAGGTTGGCGAAAAGAGAGGAAGTATGCGTTTCATCGAGCCCGGATCGGTCGTGACCTTAATTCTCGATAACTACTGCATAGTTTTATATCAACTTTGGAACATAAGTTTCTTATTAATCAAGGAAGGTTTAAAGCGTATTATTATCGTTATTTATTCTATTAATAAAAAGTGAAAAATGAGTATTATTTCGTCAATACGGTCTCTCATTGGCTGCTGTGTGAACCTAAGAGGAAAAATGATTCACCAATGAGATTCGTTGTAGTATCCGGATAGGGAATGTTGGTGACATTGGTATATACATCTCGAAGTAATAATGACGGGACTGATAGGAAAGGTTAGCTGTCACCTGTTGCGTGTTATTGTCAACAACAATATTAAGTGAAGTGTATTATTATGGATATATCTCAAGAAGATATAAATAAAGGAGTAAGTTTCTTCTTTTATATTTATTGTTTTTTTCTTTATTTAGAATATTGTTATTATTATTTATTTATTGTTTCTTTATTTATATGTAGGAAGAAGATACTCGCTTGAAGATATCTGAAGAAGAAAACATTATTAATAATAGAAAACAAGTAATCTTGTTATTAATAATTAATAAAAATATATAATATAATTAATAATATAATTAATCTGTTGTAGTCATAACATGGCTATATGAATTTATATTTGTCTGCGTAGCCACTTATTTGCTATTAAATTTGCTACGTAGCCACATTGCTATAAATATCCACATATATAATTGTATAAATGTATATAGTTATTTTTTCTCTTATTTGTATATTATATAATAATTATATAATTAATTAAAAATATGTATACAAATATATTTATAGTTATACAAAGATATTAGCGCACCAATAATTATGGCAATGCAGACAAATATATTAACTTACATAGCCAATTATCTACTACAAAAGATTATTCACATATGTAATAATAATTAAGGCTATACAAATATATAAACTTACTTGTGATTACATAATGTATAAACTTATATAGCCATAAGAAAGTTAATATATTTGTCAAAGCCATAATTATAACTGCGTACAAGTTTACGTATTTGATATAAGATATTGTTGTCATCTGTCTTTGTCATCTGTCTCTCTCTATCTATCAATCTATCTATCTAGCTATTTTTTTTTATTTATCTCTCTATTTATATTATATTATATTAATTAAAAAAATTGTAGCAGAAAAATATTTGGAAAGAATATAGAACATTGCAGTCACATGGTGAGTGTATGTGTGTCTTTATTATTATTATTATTAT